CCTTCTTGAATTGCAGACTCCAGAACTACACACAGGAATCCGGCAGTGATTAAAGCAGTGCCCAATAGAAAGGGAAATATAATCTCTATGCTCCTACCCAAGATGCCCCAGTTTATATGTGCCCAGGTTGCATGAGCTTTTTCAGCCACAGCATCACACTGGGAGCACGTGTTCCACGGATGATCCACTCCTATCCCAAAGCTTTTTCAGAGACACTGCTTCTCAGCAGAGCCCCCCATCCTGCATGTGTGGCCTACGGCTCCTTGGCCAGCAGGTGCAGTGCCCGTTTGCGCAGGCTGGGGCAAAGAGGAAGCTGTTTCTGACGGCAGCGTATCAGGGAGGCAAGAGGGGTTTTGACGGCCGCTGTACTTTGCAGCCGTATTTTTAGCTGAAGGGGCTGGAGGATGAAACAGGAAGTAGAGTGAGCCGGTGCGAGGGGGAGTTGTGCTCTCGGCAGATGCCTTGCTCTGCTTGGCTTCCGTCTGAAAGCACAGGGTCTGGTTCTCCACGGCCTTGCACCTGGTGTGGTCATTCATGCTGGTGCAAAATGGATGCAAAATGTGACCTGGTAGCACTTGACCTCTTTTCTGCCTTCTGTTTGCACAGGCAGAAATGATGCTACGAGATACAGGGCGGTGGAGCATCAGGACCATTACTTCAGTGACACCATGATATTTGAGTACTGTGCACGCCACATGATATTTGAGTACTGTGCACGCCACATCACTGCGTGAGATGTGCTAGTATCACGATTTGCATGCATGTTCTCTTTTGTCCTTCCCAGGCCTGAGACGGAGGTCCTCAGACTTCTCTCTGAGCCCTGGTCGACACTAGCACTTTATTTCGAAATAACCCCTCTTAAGTCGAATTTAAAAGTGGAGCATCCACACAACCAAGCCTGCTGCTCATTTCGAAATCTGTCCTCCTGCTTTTCATTGGGAATATTGCTCATTCTGAAATAGTAATTTTGGAATAACAGTAGCGTGGGCACTCGGGTGCTGCTATTTCGAGATAACTCCTTCCCAAAATACAGGACTATGTAGCACTTTAAAGACTAATAAACCATCTTGTTAGTCTTTAAAGTGCTCCATAGTCCTGTATTTTGTTTCAGCTACACCAGACTAATACGGCTACATTCCTTCCCAAAGTAATTCAAACTAATTATGCCCCAGTGCTTCCTGGGGCTCTGAGTCCGAGAAAGCGTGCCCGCATTAACGGAGCAGGCCTTGGACTAATTTCGGGGCTTCCCCGTAATGAGGACACGCTATTTCAAATGTGTTCAATCAGGCGTTATTACGTCGACTTTAGTAATTTCAAAATAGTTTCCTAGTGTAGACATCGCCTTAGTGCTGAAATCTAAAGGGAAGCCCCAGTTCTTAAAGGAGAACTGCAAAGGAGAGTTTCAATATTGAGATTTCAGCTCTGCATCCTCTACTAGCCAAGCTGGTGGGACCAAATTCAGCTCCCAGTGAGACTTCTGAAATCCCCTTTTTCGTTTCTGGGTGGCTGATGTTCTCCCAGAATGTATCAGCTGCGAAACCCCAAACAGCACGGTGTGCAGGGGTTACAATGAATCTGCTGATACTTGCGTGGGCACATTCGGAGGGATCTGCAGTGAACCAGAAGACACTAAAAGGGAGAAGATATCACCTCACCCACCTTCTCCCTCCGAGAGAGAAAAAGCATGTTAAAAATGCTGCAACTTACTTCTTGCTGCATTCCACCCCCGCAGCCTGGTTAGCACCTCGCTTGATTTTCATTTTGGCTTCCAGGTTGCCTTTGAGAGTCATTTGAGACTTTCAAAGTTTCGAGCTCTATTCAGTCCCTCAGTTTGGTGGTTCTTCTTTTAGACAGTGTTAATAGCTTTCTGCTTTTCGGGCTGTGCGCTTCCACCTGACTTGTGTTAGCACTTGTGTTAATGAAGTGTAAAAGCCCGGTGTTCATGATATTAATGGGGGAGATGCGGGGTCTGGGATGGAGACTGGGTGCAGAAGAGAACTTGGGGTGCAGGGTCTGAGAGGAGGTTTGGGTGCAGGAGAGGTTTCTGACCTGGAGCAGGGGTTCAGGAGGGAGTGCACAATCTGGGAGGGAGTTGTGACCTGGAGCAGGAGTGTAGGAGGGGATGGAGGGATCAGGGTTGTGAGTGAGGGCAGGGGATTGGGGTGCAGGGTCTGGGAGGGGGTTTGGGTTATGTGGTGTAGGGGTGCAGGAGGGGGAGCAGAGGGTTGGGGCGTGCGAGGGGCTTGGGTGCCAGAGGTAGGCTGTAGCTGGGAGGTGTTTATCTGAGTGGCTCCCGACCAGCAGCCCAGCAGGTCCCTCAGCCAGGGTCCCTGCTTTCGCACGCACTACAGGGGCTGTATGCTGTGCTGAACGCCGTGAGTCCCAGGGGAGGGGCACTTCGCACATTGCCTGTCCTACAATGGGGCAGCTCCCATTGGCCAGAAACTGGCCAATGGGAGCTGTGAGACTGTGCTGGGGACAGGGGCAGCACACAACGCCTCTCCCCGCCCTGCTCCCTGGCTTGCAGAAGCACATGGCCCCCACAGACGGCTATTCTGAGAAGCCCGCGGGGTGGGTCAGGCAGAGAGCCTGGCTGAGGCTCCCACGGGGCCGTGAACTGGATCTGGAGGTTTGGCTGGCCGGATGAGGCCCATGGGCCATATTTTGCCTCTCTCCCCCCTCCCCCTACCTTAGCATGTGTGTTAGCCCCACAAGTGCCAGCGAGAGCTCTGTGTGTCTACTGAGAGGAGAATTAAACATTTCACAATGACTGTTCGGGGGAAACGAGTGCCTGGCAATGGTGAGGTTGGCCAGTGACCGCTCAAGTGGCTGGGTTTTGTTTGAGAGGCTCCGATGTTTTAGAACTTGGAGGCCAGCTGAATAAATAACGCTTATAGGCCCTAATGCGCAATGAGTTTCTCGTTGCTTGAGCACAGGAAGAGGGGGGCTGTGCACAGGTGACTCCTGCTATGTTGGTGGCGTACAAGGAAGATAAACAATTGTTTGTATCTTTTGGGGGCAGGAGTTGCAAAGTAACATGAATTTATGACTGAAAATCCAGAGCCTGAAACACACAAGGACTGAAAGCAGAGAGAGAGAAGGCAGACTGCTCCTTCAAGCAGAGAGGTCCACGTCACCCCACTTTGTGTTACAGCTGGCTCTTTACAGACTGCTGAAGACAAAGACTGCATGTTTCCTTATGTGACCCACACACCTAGTGTGGGTCCCTGTCCCACGTAGTGGCACTTAGACCACTTACAGAGAGAGATAAGAACAAGGGAGCTCTACAGCCTAAGCTGAAAACCAGCTGGCTTTATAGTTCAGGCTGTAGAGGGTCCTCCACTAAGATCCAGAGGTCCCAGGTTCAACTCTGCCTGGGGGCAGTTACACTTACACAATCCGTAGCCCACAAGCAGGGCCAAGGAGCCACTTAGGATTTAAAGGGACAGCTTCCCATTTTTAACAGTTTTCAATGCACCCCGAATTTAAGCCACCTTTATGCTGCCCATCTATGGGCAGAAACGCAATGAGGCCTTGTGGATCCCAACAGATGTGCAATTAAAAACACCACAGAGGCTTAAATGTTTGTAGGAAAGCCAGTTCTCACAGACTTATCATGCGTCTACATCAGTCTTTGGCGCAATCAACCACAAAAGATTAAACAAGCAGTGTCTTTCAGGGCTCTGGCAATAGCCCATGGTATCACATGGAGAGACTTGTGCTGACTTCCGTGGGTTTTGGATCGGGGCTGAGAGCGGCAGTACAGTAGCAAAATCCAGGCTTCAAATTAGGCTCTGGGTTGGCAGCCCGGGCTCTCGGATCTGCTTTTGCCTGTTGTTCTGGGAGGGCACTAATCGGAGAAGAGATACAGGGGCAGAGGGTTTAGGAAACCGTCCGAGATTATCTAGCCCTGGGTTGCCTGTGGGCTTTCCGAGGAGCTAACGTCCCCGCACCACTTGGCAAATGCTGCGCACTTTCCCACGTTGCACGGCATTTCTTCAAAGATACGTGGGTGATAGAAACTCTTTATCTACTGTGAACATTCAAGGGGATGAATCAGGTTTGTGGGGACTTGACCCCCTGGTTCCAAGGTCTGGTGCTATTTTAAAACCTGAGGCTTAGGGCCCTAAGGGCTTGTCTGCACTAGGGATTTTTGCACCATTGTTGTCATACTGGTGCAAACTCTTAGGCCGTGTCTACACTATGTGGAAGATCGACGCTACCGCAGTCAGTCTTCCAAGGTTCAGTTTAGCAGGTCTAGTGAAGACCCCCTACATTGAACTCAGAGGGCGTCCCCGTCAGCACCGGTACTCCTGCTTCTCACAAGGAGTAAGGGAAGCCGATGGGAGCATGCGCTCCCGACGATCGCCTGCTGTGCGGATGGCGTGAAAATGCGACTTGAGATACGTCAACTCCAGCAAAGTAATTAACACAGTGGGAGTTGCTGAGGTGAGGGTCTCATCCAGGACACGGTGGGGGTGTCCGCCTCCTCCCTGTCACACCTGTCTTTGCCCCTTTTCTCCCCCCAGCTGGTGCCTCCAGTCTCGCATACCCAAGTCAGATTACTCCTGTCCTCTAGCTCCCGGGTCCCAGTCTGTATTCCGCCCTTATTAGCAGGGCAACCCAGTTCAGTATTCCCAATGACCCAACGGTCAAAGTCTGTAACGCGCCCCTATCAGCAGAGCAGCACAGTTCAATAGTTTTGATACAACCCAATGGCCAAGGTACATAACTCGCCCCTATCAGCAGGGCAGCACAAGTCCATAGTCCTAATACGACCCAATGGTCAAAGTTTGTTTTGGGTAATAAATAGGGGAAAGTTTTACATCCCCCGGCAGGGATGTCCAGGCCCTCCCACTCCACTACACCCCAGCCCAGGGCCCTGTTAGTGGCTCGCTCTAGCCACTGAGTCAGCAGGGAAATTGCTGATGCAACACTCTGACTCCCCGACCACGGCTCACTTGCCCTTGGCTTTCGCTGTCCTTGGGCTGCTTCCTGCGTCCAATGTCTCGGTGCACTGGTGGATCTTCGTCTCCCCTCCTTCCTCTGGGATCTGGTTACTCCCACCTGCTTCTGAGTTGTGCATGGTCTCTAGATGCGTTGGGTCTCCAACCTGCATGGTAGCGTCTTGGAATTTGGACCATTGCTGAGGCTTGCACAGGGCTGGCCAGGCACATCCTCTCCCTCCAACTGCCAGGCCCAACTGAGCAGAGCTGCTCCCTTTTATAGCGGTACAATCCGAGCATGCCCAATAAGGTAAAGGGGTGTGGCCTGCTCTGCTCTCGAGACGGAGCTAACCCCCTCCTGTTCACAGGGGATGTGTTCACAGATGCGTATCTTAAGTCGACCTTCTGCTGTAGTGTAGACCAGACTTCAGTGTGGATCTATTGCACAGGTGTAAAGTGGGGTTTATACCGGTTTCACACCAGAGTGACCAAGAGCAAGCCAGTGCATTTACACTCAAGAGTTTGCATACATGCCAAAGTCTCTAATGGAGATAAGTTCTGAAGCATTGCCCCTGCAATAGCTTTACATTTGGATCGCTATTAGCTTGCTGTTTGGACAGGGCACCTGAGCTGGTGCTTACGATGCACACCAGACGGGGAAATGGGTTTGTTCTGCTGGGCCATTGCCTGTCACTCCCTTTCTGTGCATTTGTGGCTCTTGTTTCCCAACATCTCTTCTTTTCCTCTGGGTTTAGTGCGGCATCTGAAAAGCCAGAGCCATGACCACTCACGTCACGCTGGAGGATGCCCTGTCCAACGTGGACCTGCTGGAGGAACTCCCTCTGCCAGATCAGCAGCCATGCATCGAGCCACCTCCCTCGTCCATCATGTACCAGGTACGTGCCAGCTCCCAGGAGACGCCTCGGTGAGGCGAGAGCCAGAACGGTAACGCCTAGAGGTGTGCAGGCTGGTTTGCAGACCAGGCAAAGGGGGTTTCTAGTATGAGGAAGGGATGTGGAGACAATCCGGGACCGAGGAGAGTTGTTGCAAATGTAAAAGATCACTAGATGTGCTTAGAATCCTAGGGCTGGACAAAACCTCAGGAGTCATAGAGTCCAGTTCGCTGCCCAAAGCGGGACCAACCCCAATTCAATCCTCCCAGCCAGGGCTTTGTCCAGCCGACACTTAAACCTCTAAGGATGGAGATTCCACCACCTCCCTAGAGAACCCAGCCCAGTGCTTCCCCACACGCCTAGGGAAATAGTTTTTCCTAATATCCAACCTAGACCTCCCCCCACTCCAACTTGAGATATTTGCTCTTTGTTCTGCCACCTGCATTTCTGTGTTGTTTGCCTATAGTCATCCTTTGTAATTTGTCCTACTTTCCATTTTTTATATGACTCTTTTTATTTTTAGATCATGCAAGATCTCGTGGTTAAGCCAAGGCAGTCTTTTGCCATATTTTCTATCTTTCCAACACAGAGGAATTGATTGAACCAATGGATTGAACCAATCATCATCTATTTAAACTCAGTTTAGACCCATTAATCATTACAGGACAAAATGATCCCTGGGGTAAATCTACCAAAGAAACTGCAGTTATATGCAGGATGAATTCCCGTTGCCCTCTGCTGGTCCCTCTCCAATGCATCCACATCCTTTCTATAGTGGGGGGCCCAGAACTGGACACAACACTACAGATGTGACCTCACCAGAGCCAAATAAAGGGGAATAATCACTTCCCTAGATCTGCTGGCCATGCTCCTCCTAATGCAGCCCAATATGCCATTCGCCTTCTTGGCTACAAGGGCACCAAGTTGACTCATATCCAGCTCTTGTCCACTGTAACCCCCAGGTCCTTTTCTGCCGAACTGCTACTTAGCCAGTCGGTCCCCAGCCTGTGACAATGCTTGGGATTCTTCCCTCCCAAGGGCAAGACTCTGCACTTCTCCTTGTTGAACCTCATCAGATTTCTTTTGGCCCAATCCTCCAATCTGTCTAGGTCACTCTGGCCCCTCTCCCTGCCCTCCAGCACATCTACCTCTCCCCCTAGCTTAGTGTCACGTCTTTTCTGCATACATGCCCTGTTAGTTGCTCTTTCTGAGTAATGAATATGTCTTAAAATGCACACCCTAGGTAAAATATAGAATGTGGTTATTTACTCCCCTCCCCCATCTGACCTTCTCGACTGGCCTTGCTCCCCGTGTTAATGTGTAACTGTGTGCAGTGACTGCCTGGTCATGCACGTTGGTTTGCACAGTGCGGTTTGTGTTTCACCAGGTCAGATCGGACACTTGTGCTGCAGCATTCGCCTCTAATACAACCTGTCCGCTCCAAGGGCACTTGTGGGCCAAATTCCAAGCCTCCCGCGGCAGCCCCGTCAGCATGTTCAATTTGTCTGCTTGTCAAGCGTGCGCGCTCTTTCCTGGCCAGTTGCCTGTGAGCACGCTGGCGGGCGGGTTGTGGTGTGTCCAGACGCTGCCATTTCAGGAAGCCCACGTGGGTTGAGTCTAAAATACACCGAGTCAGGAAAAACTGGCCACACCTGTTCCCTTTATCATGATTAACCCGGGGGTTGGTTGCTAGCCTTCCTAGAATCCTAGGGTTGGAAGAGGGCTCAGGAGTCCTCGAGTCCAGCCCCCTGCCCAAAGCAGGACCAACCCCAACTCAATCATCCCAGCCATGGCTTGGTCAAGCCGACACTTAAAAACCTCTAAGGATGAAGATTCCACCCCCTCCCTAGGGAACCCAGCACAGGGCTTTCCCACCCTCCTAGGGAAATCGTTTTTACCTAATATCCACCTAGACCTCCCCCACTGTAACTTGGGACCATTGATCCTCGTTCTGCCATCTGCCACCACTGAGAACAGCCTCTCTCCATCCTCTTTGAAATCCCCCTTCAGGGAGTTGAAGGCTGCTCTCAAATCCCCCCTCACTCTGCTCTTCTGCAGACTAAATAAGCCCAAATCCCTCAGCCTCTCCTCATAGGTCATATGCTCCAGCCCCCTCATCATTGTTGTTACCCTCCGCTGGGCCCTCTCCAGTGCATCCACATCCTTTCTGTAGTGGGGAGCCCAGAACTGAACACAATACTCCAGATGTGGCCTCACCAGAGCCGAATAAAGGGGAATAATCACTTCTCTGGATCTGCTGGCCATGCTCCTCCTAATGCAACCTGATATACCATTAGCCTTCTTGGCTACAGAGGCACCAAGTTGACTCATATCCAGCTTCTCATCCGCTGTAACCCCCAGGTCCTTTTCTGCCGAACTGCTACTTAGCCAGCCGGTCCCCAGCCTGTACCGATGTTTGGGATTCTTCCATCCCGAGGGCAAGACTCTGCACTTCTCCTTGTTGAACCTCATCAGATTTCTTGTGGCCCAATCCTCCAATTTGTCTAGGTCACTCTGGCCCCTCTCCCTGCCCTCCAGCATATCCACCTCTCCCCCTAGTGTCATCCGCAAACTTGCAGAGGGTGCAATCTATCCCCTCATCCAGGGCGTTGATAAAGATGTTGAACAAAACCGGCCTTAGAACTGATCCTTGGGGCACTCCGCTAGAAACTGCCCGCCGGCCGGACCCCGAGCTGTTGGCCACTACCCGTTGGGCCCAACCTGGGGGTTTGTTTCTAGCCTTCACTGCTGCCCTCCGCTTCGCCACTCCAGTCCTCCGACGTGCTCTCCCCAGGTGCGTTGCCATGGAAACGCTCAGGTAGTGCAGTCCCCTGAGAGTTCCTCTACAGATGCTCTGGGAACAGGACGTGGAGGCCAGTCAAAACGAAAGAGGCTTCAGCCTCCCTTTTAGAGGCAGGTTCCCAATGGCCTGTCTGTCTAGCCTCCATCCTCCACGTCAGGCCTGTCCTCCTGATGAGAGCCTCTAGCAGGTCCCAGCCCTCAGCCAGGTCCTAGCTAGACCCAGCTCCTTGCCTCGCGTCAGAGCAGCTTGCTCCTTTGCCCCCGCTCAGCAGGGCTTTCCTCCTCCATCACGCCTCCTCAGACAGCCCTCAACTGCTGGGGTCTCCTAGGTTGGTTGTCCCACACCCAGACGGGTGTAGTGGGGATGGGCTGACCGGACAGGTGCCAGGCCTCTCATAGGAACAGGCTGCCCTTAGACAGCACTAGATGGTTTTTCTCCCTTGGGCCCCAACCTTCTGCCCTTGACTTCAGTGGGAGCAGGCCGGAGCCCTGGGTCAGTCTGAGCAGCGGCATAGCTCCCAAAGGGCCTTAACGCCACAAGCAAGTGCGTGTCGCCTTCTCTCAGCGCATCGCCGGGCAAGAGCAACCCCTGGGACTTGGCTGTTCGCTTCCCCCTCAGACACGTTCTCCTCCTTCGGGGCTGCTTGACTTGTCGGTGTTTATATTTTCCTGCGCTTGGCCCAGGATTATTCGGGGTAATCCCTGCTCACAAAGCATGGCTCTCTGTCCCCCTCCATCTGCCTCTGACTGAACAGACGGGATTGTGAACTCCAGACTGATTGCTAGAGGCCTCTTCCCTTAAACCCAAGGGTAACGGGATCAATCCACCAGCGGGCAGATTTGAACCTGGGACCTCTGGAGATTAGTGTAGATTAGCTCTAAGATTGAACTATACAACCAGCTGGCTCGTTCTTATCTCTGGCACGAAGTGCCAGTCCGTGGGACAGTGAACCACGCCCTGTGGGCTACCCGTGCAGATGGCCTGACCAGGGGAGTCAGTACATTTTTTTTTATGGGATCTTCCTTCATAAATGAATCATTTAAGCCCTTCTGGAGCAGCCCGACCATGCCAAAGAGCCGACCGTGTGTTAACCCTGCACCCTTTGTTGTGGCTACAGGCTAATTTTGACACAAACTTTGAAGACAGAAACGCCTTTGTGACCGGCATTGCCAGGTACATCGAACAGGCGACGGTGCACTCGAGTATGGTGAGTCTCCCAAAGCCCCAGGACCGTGGGCCCAGACTTGCCTTCCGCGCCCCGTCTAGGGCTGTGGGTTAGTACGTTACAGCCAGCGTGGGCATGCCTGCCCAAGCAGCAGTCCCCCTCCCATTGCTGAGTAGACAGACCCTGTGGTGTAGACAGGCCCTCTGCCGGGGAAGGGGCAATTGCACTGAGGTCCAGCAATTAAAAGGCGCCCAGGGCTCCCTTTGAATCACCACTGGAGTGCTGCTCCGTGTGGCCCTGAGGGCTGGCTACCCCTGGCCCCGCCCCACTGCCCGAGGCCACGCTCCTTCTGGGGCACCGAGCCAGCCCCCTCCACACACGTGTTCCGGGGCCCGCAGTGGCTGTCAGCCCTACGGGGCGCAGATCAGTGTTCCCTGGAAGCGGTGCGTTTGGGCAGCCGCCCAAGAAACAGTCAAATGCTGCCCCGCCGCACAGCAGAGCGCCCGCAGCCTGTGTTTTTCCTTGTAGTGCACGTCTGCACCTGCCTCGGTGCACGGGACAAAATTTATTCTGTACATGGATGGCAAAAATGACGGGGAACATTGGCACAGAGCCACGGTTCTCTCTCCTGGGTGTTGGCCGTTCCACAGCAGCGTGTGTGCATGTGTTTCAGAATGAAATGCTGGAGGAAGGGCATGAATACGCAGTGATGCTTTACACGTGGAGGAGCTGCTCCAGAGCCATCCCCCAGGTAAGGAACAGCCTTGGATCCCTTCCCAGGAGAGACTGGCTAGAGCAGCCAGCTGGCTGTCACAGATGCCTGGATCTGCGTGTGGTGGGGGGGATCAGACAGGAGAGAAGACGGTGACTGGGGTGGGGTGAGAGGTTGATCTGAGACCGTGATCACCCAGGCCAGCCGTCCCGCTGCTGGGGAGGAGAGGAGCATGGGCTGCCATCTCAGCAGTGCTCGGTGGCTGCTGTAGTAGCTGCAGAGCTGGGGTACATGCCCAGGCAGGACCCATCTCGGTCTCGCTGTTACGAGGAGTGCGGGTAGCACCCCTGGAATGGAAGCTGCATTGCAGCGTCCAGTCGAGCCCCACTTCTCCAGCTGCTCCTCACTGTCTCGTGGCCCGGTGGAGCGGGCGCGAGTGCTAACCGCTGGCTGCCCTTGTCCAGGTTAAATGTAACGAGCAGCCGAACCGGGTGGAGATTTACGAGAAGACCGTGGAAGTCCTGGAGCCGGAGGTCACCAAGCTGATGAAGTTCATGTATTTCCAGGTAACCGGCGGAGGAGTTCCCAGTGCAATGCGCGTGGCTCTCTGAGCTCACTTCCCTGCCTGGAGGACACCTCAGTTTCCCTGGTGGAATGGAGACCCCTCCCCTGTTAGCTTTGCAGCTGCCAGGAGGCGTGTGGGAAACCTCACCACAAAATCCCGAAGCCACACAGCTCCTGCCTAGCCTCAGACTCACTTATCGACTCAAAATTCAGGCCAGCACGATCAGCCTTTGGGCAAAGCTGGGCCCAGGAGCTCACGTAGGCCCAGGTGGGCTCAGCCCCACTGTCGATATCTGCTTTGCAGGGTTGTGGACGGTTAACCCGTAAGCATCACCCTTAATGGGTGGTGCTTACTGGTTCCGATTAACCGGTGCGGGCTGGCGCAGATCCCTACCCACCATGAGCAGGAGGCTGCTCCAGCCCCATGGACCACGCTGCTCCAGCCCCATGGGGCCCACCTGCTCACATGGGACAGTGTTTTTGGAGAGATTTCCCCTTCTGTCTAGCTGCAGAGCTGGGAATTGTCTAGGCCAGTGTTTCGCAACCAGGGGTACGAGTACCCGTAGGGGTACTTGAGAGAAGCCTGGGGGGGTACGTCAACACAACCGAAATGTGGAGAAAACTGAATTTTTGTTGTAAGTTTTATAGCGCTTTATTATTTTTGTACTTTTTACACCCAAAAACTTCATTGCCCGCCCGGCTACGATTAAGTTGTTCAAACAAATGTGTTGCAATGGTAGAAAAAAATGTTGGGGGTACTTATATATATATATATTTTTTTTGAAAAAGGGGTACTTTATTAAAAAAAAAAGGCTGAGAAACACTGGTCTAGGCCACCCGTGTGTAAGAGGACACGCCCCCAGATAATGAAAGTCTTGGAAAGGAACCTGTCCTTTGCTCGTACCTGGTAGCTGTCCAATAGAAGTCAGGGCCCAGAGCAGAGATGTTAAGGACTAGTCGACGATCTGATAAGCAAAACCTTATCTGATAGTTGAGTCGACTCGTCACTTCCCCTCCTTTGCTGCCTCTATCAGTTAAAGGGGGGAAGGGGTACTTCAAAGCAGCAGCGCCGCACAGCTGAGATGGGGATCAGCTGTGCACCTGCCGCTTTGAAGCCCCAAGGTGGCATTTCAAAGGGGCAGTCACCTCACAGCTGATCCGTGGCTCAACTGTGCAGCGCTGCCCCTTTAAAATCCCAAAGCACCATGGAGCCCGGGGTCAGCTGGGGACCCTGGGTTTTGGGGAAATGCCGCATGGAACCCGGGGTCAGCTGGAGAGTCCCCAGCTGATCCTGGGTTCTGCGGAAATTCCAAGTCCAGGGAAACTTGGGCCCATCCACTATTTTGAGCTCAAATCCAGGGACTCTGTGCCTAGTAGCGACAGGCTACCCAGTCTCAGACCCAGTCCTGTTTCCCTGGGCTCCCACATCTCGAGCTCCTGGCCCATCTCTGGGTTTACCAGCCCAAGCTTCCTCTGCTCCTAGGGGCTACTTCACTGCTCTTGGTGTCTGTCGTGCAGAACAGGGTCCCAGGGCTCACTCCCCCCCGTCCCCGAACACCTCCTCGTCCGTAGCCAACTCCCTTCTCTCTAAGGGAGCACTCCTCTCGACGGCCCCCTCCTGCTCTCTCCTTCCTGGCTTTATAGACATTCTCAGCCTGCCCCTGCCCAGATGGGCTCCAGCAGGTCCTGACTCTCCTCTAGGTACAGCCCAGAAGGCTAGTTGGCCCTCGTTAACCTGCTCTGGCCTTGTGGGGGAGGCACCCCAGACCAGCACTAGAAGCGCAGGCCTCTTCTTCCGGACCAGAGCAGGGATGCTCTTAGCTGCTGGCAGTTGTGGCCTGGTTTCCATGTGGACGTGTAGCACGCACATGCCTGCGGGGCCGCTGGGTTACATATTTCCACCACGCACGACAGGGCATCTGGCGAGTCTCTCCCCCTCCCGTTGCCTTCCAGCGAAAGGCCATCGAGCGGTTCTGCAGCGAGGTGAAGCGCTTGTGCCATGCCGAGAGGAGGAAGGATTTTGTCTCCGAGGCCTATCTCCTGACGCTGGGGAAGTTCATTAACATGTTCGCCGTGCTGGATGAGCTGAAGAACATGAAGTGCAGCGTCAAAAATGACCACTCTGCCTACAAAAGGTGGGAGGGCAGCCAGCTGGCTAGTGTGCGGGGAGGAGGCTGAGGATGGCCAGGGCTGTGTCTGATTGGCTTTGTGCTCACTCCGCCGTAGGGATTATTCCCCTTTATTTGGCGCTGGCGAGGTCACCTCTGGAGTATTGCGTCCAGTTCTGGGCCTCCCATTACAGAAAGGATGTGGGCGCATTGGAGAGGGTCCAGCGGAGGGTAGCAACAATGATTAGGGGGCTGGAGCACAGGACCTACGAGGAGAGACTGAGGGATTTGGGCTTGTTTAGTCTGCAGAAGCGAAGAGGGAGGGGGGATTTGAGAGCAGCCTTCAACTCCCTGAAGGGGGGTTCCAGAGAGGATGGAGAGAGGCTGTTCTCAGAGGGGGCAGATGGCAGAACAAGGCGCAATGGTCTCAAGTTGCAGTGGGGGAGGCCTAAGTTGGATAGAAGGAAAAAACTATTTCCCTAAGAGGGTGGGGAAGCACTGGGCTGGGTTCCCTAGGGAGGGGGTGGAATCTCCACCCCTAGAGGTTAAGTCCTGGCTTGACAAAGCCCTGCCTGGGATGATTTAGCAGGGAGTTGGATTCAATGACTCCTGAGGTGTCTTCCAGCCCTAGAACTCTATGACATGAGGAGGAAAAATGACCCAATAGTTAAGAGGTGAATCAGAGCCTGGGAGAAGAGTTCCTCCCCTGCCACAGGCTTCCAGTATGATCTTTGGCAAGTCACTTAGCCTCTCTGTGATACAAGGACCTACCTCACAGGGATGTTATGAGGATAGATTAAAGATTGTGATGTGTTCAGTTACTACTGTAATGGGGGCAAGATAAGCAGCTTAGATAGAAAGAGCTAATGAGGTTCTTTTGTAACAGTTTCAACTAAAATGCTGTGTGGCTGCTAAACTAAAAAAAAATGCAAAACATCAGCCTAGGAGTCGCATGAATCTAGTAAGAGTTTTAGTGGTGACGTTTCCACAAATGAGTTTGCTCCTTGGGGCATTTTCCCCTTAAAACTACTGAACGTATTAGATGCAATCCAGCTATCAGTCTAGCAAAACAGAGGAGACCAGGCAAACCTGCAAGGATTGTGGCAGGTTAAGGAGCCTGAATTTAAACAAATCATTCTTTATCTGTGTTACTAATGGCATGTTAGGATATTAGAGGTATAAAGTTTTTAAGAGCTAACCTCAGTTTCCGTATCAACAAAGAAATGCCCATTGGAAAACATAATCCCAACTATATGTATAAAATGGTGGGAACTAAATTAGCTGTTACCATGGAGAGAGATCTTGGGGTCATTGTGTAGAGTTTTCTGAAAACATCCACTCAGTGCTTAGCAGCAGTCAAAAAAGCAAACAGAATGTTATGAATCATTAAAAAGGGGATGGAGAATAAGACAGAATATCTTATTGCCTCTGTATAAATCCATTATATGCCCACATCTTAATTACTGGTCTCCTCATCTCAAAAAAGATACCTTGGCATTGGAAAATGTTCAGAAAATTGCAACAGAAATGATGAGGGGACTACTGTGTGAGCAGAGATTAGTAAGTGAAGTGTTTTATGGATGAGAGAGACAATGTAATATCTCGGTATTATTCTGATTTTAAAAGGCTGCATTCATTGACAATTAATAGAAAATCATGAAAATGTTTCTACTGTTATTACTGTGTAAAACTTGTGGTGTTTTTTACCCAACCTATGTGTTGGGCTAAAATTACCTGACTGCTGTGATTCCGCCGAGAGTTACCGTGATACAGAGACTCCTGGATGACACAGGATCTCCTCCTTTCAGAGCTGCCCAGTTTCTGAGGAAGATGGCTGACCCGCAATCTATTCAGGAATCCCAGAACCTCTCCATGTTCCTGGCAAACCACAACCGGATCACACAGGTGAGTCGTTTTCCTTCGCTTCGTCTCCCACCACAAGCCCGGCAAAGTTACCAGTTGAGTTTTGCCCAAGTGAGGCCACCTTCTCAGGTGGGGAAGGAGACACGATGGCATTGGCAGGACTGAGCGTGTGGGTGGCTGGGCTCTGGAGATGGCTCTGTTGTTCATTGCTGCCAGATCTAAAGCCCAGTGAAGTCAAAGGGAGCATTTCCATTGATTTCTGTGGCATTGGATCAGCCCTACCTCTAGCTCATGGAACCTCTGGGATGGGGTTGGATTTCTCAGGGTACCAACCACCACTGATGGAGAAAAGGTCTGGGGCTTAAAAAGACACAAGACGAGTGGAGTGAGGTGGTCTCCTTGGTGGAGGATTTAATAACCGTGGTTTGTAACCTGCCATTTAAATCAGCTTCTGGGGAATGGATGATTTGAGGAAATTCCCTCTGGGGCACCTGGCATTGTCAGGAGGCAAGACGCTGGGCTAGATGGACCTTTGGTCTGACCCAGTGTGGCAGTTCTGATGTTCTTGTGTACCCTTCCATC